GACTCATCTGGCCTGTGGGCTGGGAATTTAGACATTCTACTCCCCCTCCCCACCTGAAAAATGCTCCAATGCTAAGAAGTTAGACATTCTACTCCCTCTCCCCACCTGAAAGGGGATAACATAACCTTCTATGGGGCTAGCCTGAGGGAGAGAAGAGGATAGGAGAGGATCAATAGGCCCAGCCTGAGGGAGAGAAGGGAAGAGGAGAGGAGAGGCCGATCATAACTATAATTAATGTTCAAGCTTTAACTGTTAATTTATCAAGCTTGATCACATAGTTCCATAGCGAAGCACAGGTATCCAACCGACTAGTTATTAATAAAACATAGAGAGAGAAATGTACTAGGTAATTTAAGTTTTATATTCAAAATAATACATTGTAAACATACCAGTACTGATCAGGTTTTTAAATGCCACTCTCAAATATTGCCTAAAATGTAGTATTTTTCTTTAAATACTCTTCTAACCCCCGGGTTGCTGTTTGGGGGAAGGCAACTCCCCAGCAATGAAGGAAGAGCCTCTGAGACCAGCGCGATTGAGCCAGCTGCCGGCTAATGGCGGCTCCAAAGTCCGGTCTGTCACTGAACTGATGAAGCAAAAAGTGACAGCCTGAAAGATCCGAGCAGAAAGGGGCAGAAGGACTACAAAAGCCGTGAGAGAGATCGGTCTGACTCTCCCTGTTTCATTGTGAGTAACAGTGGTGGGAAGCTGGAGACAAGTGGCTAGAAAAGTGGTTTGAAAAGTGAAAGGGGGATAAACGCAGATAGAATGGCTCGACACTTAAAGTGAAAGTGTGGAAGAAGATTGTCGAGGAGAGAAGAAGGTGGTGGGAAATTTAAGAAGCTCGGGAGTGGATTGCCATCTGGGATCAGCGCCTCAGAAGACTAGAAGACTAGGAGAGGACTATAGCTGCAAAGGAGGGCAGAGCGAGCTGTAGAGAGCGAGATAACGGCGCACTGACTTTTATATGCAAGCTCCTCTTCCTTTTAGCATCATTGCCTACAAAACTGATTTCTTTTTTTTTTTTTAGAAAAAACTTTATTAATTTTACTTTTAAAAAAAACAACACAACTACAAATTATGTACAACAAAAAGACAAACAGGTCTTAGCATAGGCCAAGAGGAAAAGAGAGGAAGGCTTGAGAGAGGAAAGAGGGAAAGGGAAGGGGGGGAAGAGTAAGGAAAACAATTATAATAAAACCATATTTTTTGTGACTGTCTGTAAGGTCCTTTCTTCTTCAAAACAATTGTCGGCAGTGCTTTTCTTTATCTTTGCTTTGGAGGCCCTCGGCCTTAATTTTCCTAGAGGTGATCTATCTTTGGTTTAGCCAATTATACAAAGGATTCCAATTGTTATAATAGGTTGAGGGTTCTTTATTTTTTAATGCTTGGGTTAGTTTGTCCATTTCGGCGCATTGTAAAATTTTCTGAATAACCATATGTTCAGTGGGGATAGAAGGTAGTTTCCAGCACTGGGCAAATGCCAGTCTGGCTGCGGTTAAGATATGAATTGGAATATACTTCGATTTTTTGGATATTTGTTTATCAAAAATTCCTAGAAGGAAGGACTCTGGTTTGTACTCATTTTGTTCGTTGGTTATTTTCTCTAGCCAGCGCCTAATTTTTTGCCAGTACTTCTGGGTTTCCTTGCATGACCACCACATGTGGAAGAAGGTACCTTCTATGTTTTGACATTTCCAACATTTGGGGCTCGTGTTGGGGTGCATCTTCGCCAATCTCGCAGGGGGCAGGTGCCATCTATAAAACATTTTATATGAGTTTTCTTTATAAGCTACTGATTTCGTGATCTTAATGTTCCTGTTCCAGATCCTTTCCCATTCTGCTAGGGTAATGCTCCGACCCACGTTTCTGCTCCACGCAATCATATTTCCTTTGACAATTTCTTGTTCTAGTTCTGTTTCTAATAAATGTTTGTAAAATTTAGATATATTTTTTTTACTCGGTCCTAATAGAATTTTGTCTAAAGTCTGTAATTTATTGTAGATTCCAAATTCCTTAATGTCTTGTTTGTATCTACTATGAATTTGAAGGTACACCCACTGATCAATTATAAATCCTCGCTCTTGTAATTCTTGTCGTGTTTTCAGCTTTCCTTGTGGGTCTAATAAATTTTCCTACTTAATCATTTTAGTTATGTCCAAATTATTAGGGTGTACTATCGCTTCCATTGGAGATAGCCAAATCGGTATTTTTAGATAGAGTTTTTTACGTACTTTTTTCCAATTAGTTAATAGAGAGTCCCTGATAAGATGCCTATGGAAATATGATTGCCTGGGTTTCCCAGTTTCCCACAGAAAGGCATGTCATCCTTTCTGCATATCATGGCCTTCTAATACTAGTGTTCTTTTGTTGGTTAGATTCACCCAATCCTTTATCCATAGTAGGGTGGCTGCCGTATGATATATTTCCCAGTTTGGCAGGGCTAACCCTCCTCTGCTTTTCGAATCTTGTAGGGCTTTTATGTTAATCCTAGCTTTTTTCCCCTGCCAAATAAATTTCAGCGTTATCTTGTTTAATTCCATAAAAAAAAATTATTTAATTTGATTGGAATTGTCTGGAATAAATATAGAAATTTTGGCAGAATATACATCCTAATCAAAGCAATCCTGCCCAATAAGGAAAGTTGTAATTTACTCCAGGAATCTAAGTCTTTCTTGGATTATTGGAGAAGTTTGTCATAGTTGTTTTCTTTTAATGATTTGCTTTGTGGAGTTAGCCAAATTCCTAAGTATTTAATTTTCTTTGTCACCTGTATTCCCATTGTTGTCTCTAGCTCTTTATTCTGGTCTCCTGTTAAATTTTTAGTCATTAATTTCGTTTTTCCCCTGTTAATTTTAAATCCTGCGACTTCTCCAAATCGTTCTAGTTCTTCTAATAAGTTATGTCCTTTTTCTATGGGCTCCTCCAGAAAAAAAACCAAATCATCAGCGAAAGCTTGTACTTTATACTCTTCTGATTTGATCCTCAGTCCTCTAATTCTCGAATTTTGCCTAATGTACGTCAAAAGAGATTCTAGGGCGAATATGAAAAGCAGAGGGGAGAGAGGGCAACCCCGTCTTACCCCTTTTCCTATTTTTATCGGGCCAGTTTGTTTCCCATTTATTAGAATATTTGCCTGTTGGGTGTGGTAAATTGTAGTGATGACATTTTCGCATCTGGTGCCGAGGTTCATATTATATATTTTTTTAATTAAGAAATGCCAATTTAAATTGTCGAATGCTTTTTCAGCGTCCAAAAACATAAATGCGAATTGTTTTTCCGGATGGGCTTCATAGAATTCTGAAATGTCTATCACTGTTCTTAAATTATTCTTAATTTGTCGAAATGGGAGAAATCCATTTTGATCTTCATGGATATGTGTGTTTAAAACCTGTTTTAATCTATTGGCTATTATAGAAGAGAATAGTTTGTAATCTGCATTCAGGAGTGAAATTGGTCTATAATTATTAATAAGTCTGTGGTCTAGGTCCTCCTTCGGGATCAGCGAAATTAAGGCTCCCCTCCACGAGTCCGGCATCTTGGCTGCTAAGAGTACCTCATTAAATACTTCCAGCATCAGTGGTCCAATTTGTTCTATGATTGTTTTGTAAAGTTCTACCGGTATCCCGTCCAGTCCTGGCGCTTTATTCTTACTTTGCTTCTCTATTGCTGACTTCAGTTCGGACCATGTTATATTTTTGTTTAATCATTCTATCTCTTCCTCTCCAATTGCTTTATCATTCGCTTCCTCCAGGTATTTCATTATTTTGTCCTCACAGACTTCTTTTTTGTAAAATTTCCCGAAGTATTTAAAAGTGATCTCTTTTTTCTTCTCTATCTCCTCTTGCAAATTGCCCCCCTCGTCCATTAATTGGTGTATCAATCTTTTTTCTTTCGTTTTCTTAAGTTTGTGGGCTAACCATCTCCCTGGCTTGTTTGCATGCTCAAAGTAGATTTGTTTAGTCATTTTCAGACTAATCTCCAATTTTTCTTGTTCCAGTAAATTTAGTTTGTGTTTAGTTGTTGTTAACTGGTTCTGTATTCTTTGGTTTTTGGGGTTCTTTTGTAGTTGGGTTTCTAAATCCTTAATTTCTTGTTGTAGGTTACTTTGTTGGGCATACTTTCTTTTATTTCTCATAGCATTGTAAGAGATTGTTATTCCTCTTATAAATGCCTTCAATGTGTCCCATATATTTTGTTTCGAAGTTAGTTCATTATTATTTTCCTTTAAGAAGAAGTTCAGTTCTTCTTTCAGTTTGTTAGTATATTCTTCTTCTTTTATTAAGTGAGTGTTAAGAGTCCATCTTTTCTTTGGTTTTCTTCTACCTCTCCAGGTTACTTGAATTGGGTTGTGGTCAGCCCAGTCATTTGGTAAGATTTCGCTATCTTTGATTTCATTAATTAATTCACTGTTTATCCAAGCCATATCTATTCTTGTCCAAATTTTGTGTGGGTTAGAATAATAAGTAAACTGTTCTTTTTTTGGGTTTAGTTTTCTCCAGATATCTACCAGATTCATTTCATTCATCATATCCTTACATGGCTTTGAAAATTCTCTTTTACCTTTATTGTTCTTACTCCTGTTACTATGATCCTTCCGGTAGTCAGCAATAGAGTTAAAATCTCCAATCAGACAAATATTGCCTTTTTCGAAATCTATTATTTTTTGGTGGAGATGTTTGAAAAATTTACCTTGATCATCATTTGGGGCATAGATTACTACCAGTAAAAATGTAATGCCATTAATCCAATACAGAATGGGAAAGGATCTGGAACAGGAACATTAAGATCACGAAATCAGCAGCTTATAAAGAATACTCATATAAAATGTTTTATAGATGGCACCTGCCCCCTTCGAGATTGGCGAAGATGCACCCCAACACGAGCCCCAAATGTTGGAAATGTCAAAACATAGAAGGTACCTTCTTCCACATGTGGTGGTCATGCAAGGAAACCCAGAAGTACTGGCAAAAAATTAGGCGCTGGCTAGAGGAAATAACCAAGGAACAAATTGAGTACAAACCAGAGTCCGTCCTTCTAGGAATTTTTGATAAACAAATATCCAAAAAAACCGAAGTATATTACAATTCATATCTTAACCACGGCCAGACTGGCATTCGCCCAGTGCTGGAAACTACCTTCTATCCCCACTGAACATATGATTATTCAGAAAATTTTACAATGCATTACATTTTTGAAGAAGAAAGGACCTTACAGACAGTCACAAAAAATATGGTTTTATTTTAATTGTTTTCCCTACTCTTCCCTCCCCTTCCCTTACTTTTCCCTCTTTCCTCTCTCAAGCCTTCCTCTCTTTCCCTCTTGGCCTATGCTAAGACCTGTTTGTCTTTTTGTTGTACATAATTTGCAGTTGTGTTGTTTTTTTTAAAGGTAAAATTAATAAAGTTTTTTTCAAAAAATAATAATAAAATAAATGCCACTCTCGAATATTGCCTAAAATGTAGTATTTTTCTTTAAATACTCTTCTAACTCCCCAGCCTCCCCTGTGTTTGGTACCACTAACTTGACCTTGACTGTAAAAGGTATGATGGGATCACTCACCATTGGATTGTCTTTGCAGGTCGGGTTCTTGGGGATGTGGTAGCAGTCTGGTGGTCCGTTGCTCCCATTTGTGCAGAGGGGGCTTTCCCAGCTGTGTTTGGAGAACCTGCCCCTGGCCGGAGGTCTTTCTTGATTCTTCCGACCTCTAACAGCTGGATTAGACTTCGACTGTGGAGCCTGTGGTACAGGAACAGGGGCCAGACAGTCTGCTGCTCTATGGCCAGCTTGGCCACATCGGTAACATTTCAGCACCCTGGTAGATTGGGTACGAGCAGGTTCAGCTGATCCGGTTGGCAGTCTCCTAGCCACAATTCTCTTAGGCAGGGCTGCCGGAAGGGGTTTCCTGTGTGGGTTGATGCTGCGATCTAAGCTGAGGGATGCAACATACCACGATTGTAAGATCTCTGGGATTCCCCTAATTTCACAAGCCTTCTTTGCTTCTGAATCAATGGCGTTTTTAAAATAGTGTAAAGTCATTCTTTCAGGCCAATCCATGAGGTGGCTTGCAACCCTTCTAAAGTTCCAAATAAATTCTGACAAGGGTTGCTTGCCTTGCCTCATTTCAATTAACTTCTCTTCATTCTCTGCTACCCTGTCTGGATTTTCAAATCTGAGTCTTAATAGTTGAATAAATCCATTTACATTACATAATTTGGGGTCTTGTTCATTGTGTAGTTGGGCCACCCAGTCTGAAGCATCCCCTTCATTCATCCCATTGCTTATGGCTGTAACCAAATCACGCTCTGTGGCATATTGATCTCCAAATTGTTCTATATGGAATTGGATTCGAGTGAGAAAGTAATTGAAATGTTCATGGCAGCCATCGAATGTGGCCTTAAAGGGTATTTGGTCTGGCCTGGGTCATGGTTGCAGAGGTGGCACAGGCCAGACCCCTGCAGGTTGTACTGGAATGAAAGGAACTGGCCTGGTGGTGTATGTAGGCTGGGTAAGCCCCCTGTATCCTAGCTGGGTGGTGCCTCTCTGGAATAGGGGTCCCTGTAGCCTCTCTGCTGGTTGGGGCTACATTTGTGGTTGCCAGGAGGAAGATGGGTGTAGGCTGGTTCCCTGGTCGGGTGGAGGGGAAGTGGCTGCTGTCTATTGTCTGGGCAACCCCCCTTCAGACCAGGGCTGTGTTGGTGCTGGCTGCCATTGGCATTGAATCCACCCCTGGCCTGGATAAAATCCCCAACCTGGAGGGATACTCTCTGCAGAGGGCAAAATTCCCTCTGGAAAATGAGGGGATTGTCTCGGAGGCTGCAACATACTCTGTCAGTTAATGTGTCTTTCTGGCTTCGTTCAACTGGCATCTGTATAGTCACCTCCCTCCAATCTGACAGAATAACAATATGCCTGGGGCTTGAGAAAGATTTCTCTTCAAACATCTGGGTTACCTCTGGGTTATAACAACTTCTTGAGTTGAAATGCTTCGGTATAGTTCCCAAATCTCTTTCCTCTACTGTCATTCTAAAAGCATCCATCATCTCCTCCAAACAAGGGCTTGCAGATCCAATTAATGTTCCAGAGGGAGGGCCCCCATACTCTCCCCCCTGCATATCTCCAACTTCAGCTGATTGTTGATCTTTCTCCATCTCTGGGAAAAGAACTCCGGGGTATCAGACAAGCCCCTTCAAAAAATAAAAGTGGACTTTTGGAAATAAATGTAAGGCATCCAGAAAGTATCCATGCTATCAATCACTCCGAGACATTTTCTCTCCAATTCATTTATTTAGAAACAGATCTGGCATGTCAAAGGCAATTTCCCAAAGTGAAATTATTTTCATGCATTACACAGAATCCACCTTCTCTCCTCCCTTCTCTCCTCCCACTTCTACATTTCATAAATCACGAGAACCAATTAACTGCAACTGGAATTTCTTAATATGACACAGAATAACCTTGAACTTTTCAACTCCTCCACCCCACCTTCCATGAAATGTGACAGCTGAATTTTAAAGCTGACACCTTAGTCTTCAGGAAGCATTCCATTTGGGGGGGGGGGGGGACAGAGCTGGCGTCGCGACGATACGGCATGCGATCTTGGAGATCTGAGATCGCAGCCGATATCTTTGCTCCTGGACGGTCCAAGTGGATCTAAACCGTCCTGAAGAGATGGTGAATGTAAAGAGCGCATCCTGTCAATCCCAGGGATATCACAAAGTCCCTGGTAGATCCAGGAGAAGCTCTTTTTGCCAGCGGCAAAGAGGCAGCCATTAAAGCTGCTGAAGTTGGGACAGCTCCGAAATGAAAGAGAATGGAAAGACAGAGTGTGCCGGTTTGATGAGAACTTTTTCTTTATTTTAAGACTTGAAAGGACACCCTAAGGGAAAGAAAGAATCTGTAAACATTTTGACAGAAGTGATTAAGCGGAGATTTTAAACAGGAATGTCAAAGTAATTTTTTTTTTCTCATTGCTGGATTTCCTACACATGATCTTATATTTTGAAACTGGACTGGTTTTTTTCTTCTTTTTATATATTTTTCTCTCCTTTTTGATTTTATAATATTTTAAGTCAGAGACTTTCTTTTAGTTATTTTTTTTAATATCTTGTTCTTTTTTAAAAATTAATTCTTATTATATTTTGCTTGGAAAAGGAGGGGGAAAGTGAAAGCTAAAGAAACTTTGTAACACTGCCAACTAGAGGCTTAGAAATATTCTATTTTTCTTTTGACCAGACAAAGCTGAGAAAGAACTGAGACTTTGTTTCAAGGACATTGCCTGCTTGATAAGATAGAGGGAAGAGCACGGGAGAGTATTATTACAGGTGCTCTTCTGGGTTTCTATCAACAGCTGCAGTCTGGTGTTGAAGCTTAGGAAAAGAAAAGGTGGTAAGTCTTTGGAGAAGAGAGTTATAACAAGAGCCTTGGATAATCAAACAAAGTGCAGTGTGCTCTTTTTATTCTTTTTGAGCTGTGCTACCCTTCCTCATCAGTTTACTTTTTTTTGCAATAGCTATTTGGATTTTTGGCTCTCTGGAACTTGTCTTTGTTTTTTGTTTTCTTGTATTTGGAAGTTAAACTTCTACTTCTACTTTTTATTTTAAAGGAAAAGCTTTAGTATTAATGCTTCCCTTCCTTTTCTTTTTAAGGGAGTAGCCTTTTTCTTCTCTTTCCTTTCCTGGTATTTTTGTCTTTCCATCTTGGTTTTTTTTTCCTTTTCTTTTTTCTTTTTTGGTTTATTTTTATGCATACTTTTATATTTGAGACCTCTTAATTGGATTAAGGTGTTGAATAACCTGAAGAATTTTTCCTTTCTTTTTTAGCCTTTTTCTTCACTTTTTCACCTTTTTTAGGATTTTACAACTTTTTTATGTGTGTGTGTGTGTTCATGGTGTGTTTATGGTCTTTTCCTTCATTTTTGAATTTTTACTGTCATCTAACCAACCAAATGGATTAAGGTATACAAGAACCTGAATAAATTTTTTCTTCTTTTTCTATTATTATTATTACTATTTGGCTTCTTTTTTCTTACTATTTTCCTACTTTTTCCCTACTATTTTTATTTGGAATTGCAATTGGTTATTTTACAACTGGATTAAGGTCTAGAAGAAGCTGAAGATTTTGAACTCCTCAAATGAGTAGGAAATTATCCTAGTTCTTCAACTTCCACTTCTTCCTCTCCACCATCTAGAGGACAACGTTCAATACAGACTATGTTAAGACAAGAAAAAGAACAAGAAAAAGTGACCCTGCAGATGATTGTGCAAGGAATTCAAAATATTCAAACAAGATCAGAGAATATTGAAAAGAGAATAGAGAACATTGAACAAAGAACAGAGAACATTGAACAAAGAACAGGGAAAACTGATGAAAAAGTGGAAAACATCCAACAAATGATGATGAAGTATGATGAGAGACTCCCAAAAATTGAAGAAGATAAACAAAGAGACAAGAAGATTGGAGACATTGATAACAGATTAACTGTGGTTGAACAAGATAAAAGTGGTATGCTGAGATGGGAGATGGACAGATCAGAATTTTATCTTAGATTTCAAAACATAGAGGAAGAAAAAGGACAAAATCTAGCTGAGATAATGATAGAAATATTGGCTGAAGCTTTGGAAATAACTGAAGAGAAGATGATGGATGGAATAGATGAGGTTTATCGAGTCTTCACAAAATATGCGATGAGAAATAACTTACCAAGAGAAGTTCACATCAGATTTACAAAGAAAGCCATTAAAACGCAAATATTGCAAGTGGCAAGAGAGAAAACATTGAAATACAAAGATAAGGAGATTGTGGTCTTGAAACAAGTACCCAGAAGAGTGAGAGAGATGAGAAGGGAATACCGATTCTTGACCAAATTATTACTTTAAAAAGAGGTGAATTGTAGATGGCTGATTCCAGAAGGTTTAATGTTTACATGGCAAGAACAGAGATATAGAATTGACTCAATTGAGAAAGCTGAATCATTTTACACAGAATTTTTCAGAGGGGAGGAAGAGGCAGAAAAAGAAATTTCATTAATTGAATTCCAAGAGAACTCCCAAATGATGACTGAAAAAGAAGAAGGTGCAGTAGGTGGAAAGGAGGAAGCCAAAGAACAAGATCCATGAGAGCTGTTAAACCTAATTACAAAATATAACCAATTACCATTAATATAAATGGATTTAACTCAGCCATTAAAAGAAGGAAAATCTTTCATAAATTAGAGAAATTAAAATTTGATATAATCTGCCTACAAGATGTACATATTAAAAAACAATATGAACAATTGTTGATACAGCCAAAATTAGGGAAAATATTCACTTCCTTGACACAAGGTAAGAAAAGAGGAGTGGTTTTATATATTAAAGAGACCATCTCAGTGAAATTGATTTATACTGATGACGACGGAATAATATTAATGGTGGAAATAATGGACAATAATATGAAAACACTCCTGATTGCAATTTATGCCCCAAACGACAAACAAGAAGAATTTTATAAAAAATTACATATGAAAATAGTTGAACTGGACTATGTTAATATAGTTATGATGGGAGATTTTAATGGAATTGTAGACAATAAATTGGACTGCACAGCACAGAAAACAATAAAGCAAAATAGAAAGACTCTCCCTAAATCTTTTTTTAAAATGGTAGATGAAATAAACTTAAAAGATACATGGAGAGAAAGAAATGCTAAAACTAAACAATACACCTTCTACTCAAATAGACACTTATCATGGTCCAGAATAGATATGACATGGATGTCAACAGAACTGTTAACTAATATTCAAGAAATAAACATTGAAACAAGTACTTGGGCAGATCACAATCCAATGACAATTAAATGGAAAGGACAAAAAAGAAGATCCAGATGGACATTAAATAATACTATTTTAAAGGGAAAAGACTTCAAACAGTGGATGGAGAAAGAATTGGCCTTTTTCTTTGGAGAAAACAAAAAAGAAGATACATCAATCCAGAATGTATGGGATACAATGAAGGCATATGCCAGAGGCTTGATAATAGACTACACAAGGAAAAGAAATACTATGAAAAGATTAGCCTCTAAAGCATTAGAAGATGAGTATAAAGGACTCGAAAAAGAGCTACAGAAAATGCCACCAAAAAAGGACATTAAGTTAAAAATGGATATAACCAAACATAAAAGGGGTCTAATAGAAAAAGAAGAATTAGCACAAAAAATTAGAGGTGCCAAACAGAACTATTTTGAAGATGCAAATAAACCAGGTAGATGGTTAGCATATAAATTGAGAAAGGAGAAAGAATCAAGGAAAATATCACAATTAATAGATGACCAAGGCCAAGTTTGCCGTGGTAGTAAAGAGAAGGAAATTATTCAAGATTATTATGGGAAACTATACACACAAGAGAATATTGATGAGGAAAGAGTTAAACAGTACCTATAGAATGCTAAGATGCCCCAGATACCTAAAGAGATTGAAACAATGTTAGAAAGCAATATAATGATGATGGAGTTAACTGAAGCACTCAAGAAGCAAAATAATGGAAAAGCACCAGGCCCAGATGGACTTCTGGCAGAATTTTACAAAACATTACAAGAATCGTTGAATCTTCCATTGCTAGAAGTTATGAATGAAATTATGTTAAAGAAGAGGATACCTAAATCATGGTCAGAAGCTTATATCACACTTGTTCCAAAAGAGGAGAGTGATCCATTACAATTCAAGAATTATAGACCTATCTCCCTACTAAACACAGATTGTAAAATCTTTTCTTCAATATTGGCAGAAAGAGTTAGAAAATATTTAAATAATTTTATCCATCCTGACCAAAATGGATTTCTGCCAAAGAGAGAAATCAAAGACAATATGAGAGTAATCTTGGACACTTTGGAATACTACGAGGCACATCCTGAAAAACAAATGATTTTTCTAGATGCACAGAAGGCATTTGATAATGTGAATTGGCGATTCATGTTGTTACTGCTGGAACAGATGGGCTTTGCTAGAAAATTTATTCAAGCAATAGAAGCTATATATCATAAGCAGACGGCAAAGGTAATGATAGAGGGAGAACTGACAGAATCTATCGATATAAGAAAAGGAACAAGACAAGGGTGCCCACTATCGCCTTTGTTGTTTGTGTTAACTTTGGAAGTGCTAAACAGAAATATTAGAGATGAAAAGAATATAAAAGGGATGAAAATCAAAAAGGAAGAATTTAAGTTGCAAGCAGATGATCAAGCAGATTTGCAGATGATCTGGTTTTTATCTTAGAAGACCCACTAGAAACAGCATCAAAATTGATAGAAAAGATACATATGGAAAGGTGGCTGGTTTGAAAATAAATAAAGATAAGACAAAGATCTTGACAAAGAATATGCTATCAAGACAAAAGGAAGAATTGGCAGACCTATTGAAAATTCAGGTCACGAATAAGATCAAGTACTTGGGGATATATTTGACAGCAAGATGTAGTACACTAAAAGAGAATAATTATATCAAACTTAAGCAGCAGATAGCGCTAGATTTGGCGAAATGGGAAAATTTACAACTGTCATTAATAGGGAGAATATCAACAATCAAGATGAATGTACTACCCAGAATTTTATATTTGTTCCAGACAATTCCAGTTAGGCTTGGAAAAGATTATTTTGAAGATTTAAATAAAATTGTGTTGAAATATATATGGCAAGGTAAGAAAGTGAGAATAAAGTTAAAACTTTTACAAGATGCCAGAATAAGAGGAGGATTTGGTTTGCCTAATTGGGAGTTGTATTACCAAGCTACAAATTTGATGTGGGTTAAGGAATGGATAACATTAAGAAATACTAGATTGTTGACATTAGAAGGACATGATCTGTTGCTGGGGTGGCATGCTTTTTTATGGTATAAAGGAACTAAAACACGGGGGTATTTTAGAAGACACTATACACGGGAGTCTCTGTGGTTAAATTGGGAGAAGATAAAAAGACAATGTTATTTGAAAATTCTAGTCTGGCTATCGACTATTGAAGCATTGTTTTATCCTATAATATACAAAAAGGAACAAACAGATATGGTAAAATATTGAATAAAAAGGGTGAACTTAAATCTATACAAAAATCAGAGGAACAAGGTATAAAGATGAATTGGTTTACATTCAAGGTATGATAAAGACTCTAAAACAGAAGGTTTCTATGATAAATTGACAGATAAGATTTTGACAGGTACTGATGAAAAGGTGATTAAAAAATTGTATGGATATTTATTAGAAATTAAACTAGAAGAAGAACAAGTTAAAGAAACTATGATTGCTTGTGGGAAGAATTTGGGATATGGGATTGATCTAGAGAAATGGCAAAAATTGTGGTCTCAAAATTATACAATGACAATGTCAACAGCATATAAAGAAAATCTGTATAAGATGTTTTACAGGTGGCATTTTCCCCCGACAAGAATAGCAAGAATGTTCAAGAATAAATCCGAAAAA